ACACATAAATAAAAATTTAAAAAATAAAAAAAAAATAATAATAATAATAAAATGCCAGGCCAGAAAGCAAACAGATACATGGTAGGAATTAAACTCCACATTTGGTCCTTACAGGCTACCATTTACTTCTCTGTAAGAACACGCCACCATGCACTCCCAGGTCTATTCATTCTCACAGACTGTGTAGGCCAAGCCTCATGGTCAAATCCATGTGCACTGCCACTAACAGTCCAATAAGCAGTTTGGGGAGGGTTGCATGATACTGCACACAGAATGCTAGTGAAGTGCAAATTTTAGGTGTCAACCACAGCAGGAGGGGGAATATCCTGTTTGAATATAGCTTAAGAGCCTTACAAATGATTTTTTTCTGATCAAATTTATCTCCAGGAATTTTTCCTACATATGCATAAGAAACAGACAAAAGAACCCCCACTGTTACAGTCCACATTAGGAGAACTGAAAGACTGAGTAAATATACCCAGGGAATAGCTGTGTCCATCCAGGTAACAGAAGCGAACGGAGCCAAGGCACACGCTGCCTCCCAAGAGCACTGTGTGTTGACATAAGGAGCAGCGACATCTGTGTGTACTTTTCACACAGCAGGTTCCACCAAGAGGCTGCACAGATGTCATCTCTTGATTTTCACAGCCCTGACATTGAGGCGATTGCTATTTTATAGTTAAAAAACTGATGTTAAATTATTGTTAACAAGCCACTTTTTAAAGATAAACTCACTGAAATGGCAATTAATGTTATTCCTCCACTGAGGAATATTTGCATTGTAAGCAGTGTAATTTTATTTTTAGGCTCACGTGAATTTTACAATGAACAAATTCTTAGGACTCATAGTTATCCTCCTGTTCCAGCCTCCCCAGTGCTGGATTACAGGTGGGCGCCACCACGCCTGATCTCAGTGGCCAGCAAGGTGTGCCTGGGGCTCTGGGGCCAGCATGGCATGCGGTACCGGAGATTGAACCCAGGTCCTTGTGTTTGCCAGGCAGGTACTTAGACCACTGAGCTATCTCCCCAAGCCCCCATTATCTCCATATTTTATACTGATCATACATAGAAATATTATTTTGGACATACTGTTTTAGCTATAATACTACCATAATATCAAAACTAATTTCACCTCTTTCCTTTTAACCTTTTAAAATGTGGTTACTGGGGTCAGTGAGATAGCTCAGCAGTCCAAAGCACCTATTTAGGCAAGCTTAGGCATGCGCAAGAGACTGCAGTTTAATCCCCAGCACCACACGCAGTGCCAGCCCTGCCCTCGGGGCAGGCTGAAATGGCAAAAAAAGAGAAAATAATTAATTAGATTTTAAAATGTGGTTATTGGGGCTGGTGAGATGGCTCAGTGGTCTAAAGCACCTACTTACAACAAGCTAAGCTAAGCAAATGGACAGCGACCGCGGTTCAATCCCCAGCACCACATGCCAGCCAGCCCGCCCCTGGTGGGCGGAGCTGGCCACACACACACACACACACACACACACACACA